TTGTTTATTTATGTTTCTGACTCCTTCTCCCAATTCTAGGAGTTCTGTCACTCAAATTTCCTGAGGCTCCGACAGTCAAGTCAACGTGCTTGTTCTTTGTGAGCGCACACACACACACAACCTGAAACCCTGCACGTTTATAGACGAGTCATTCGGCTTTAAATGTCTCTGATTGTGTTTGTGTCTCTGCCTCAGACTGAACTGTTACCCCACTGCTCAGATGTGCCTCCTCTGGCCCGGGTGGTGCAGGAGGACGGCAAACTGTTGATGCAGGCCGTGCTGGAGGTGAGGAGCACCACGTTCAACATCTCACACACTTCATCATTTGTTGCGGTGAACTTGATCAACTGCGATATTGATTGTTTTTAAAATTGCTCCGCTCATAGAAAACTCTGCTGCATTTTAAATCAAGCGCTTCATGAGCTAACAGCCAGCCACCAGGGGACCATCCAAAGCTTTTAGCAGTTTTGGGGAGCTGTCATGCCGCTGCACGCTGACCCTACAGTGACGCGTTTTCCTGAATGTTGCGGCTGCAGTCCAGAGTAGAAGAGAAATACTGTATATTACTTGTTTTACCCGGCTGCTCTGAGTCATTTTACAGAGAACAGACGGGCAAAACGAAAGAAAAGCACCGAATTCAGGTGAAGAAGAACCTTAAATGATGTCTTACATTGATGCAAAGTTAATTCACACAAAGAAAAGAAAGCTATGAGACTCCATCGACAGTCATTTTACTGATCATTGTAAAACATGGTAAAAGGGGTATTATTGTGATTATATCCCTGTTGTCTAACTTCTTCCTCCCCGGTCTCTCCAGGGCATCGGGGGCGGGGCCTCTCGGAGCCTGATGGACCAGTTTGCAGAAGTGCTTTTCTCTCTGAACAAGCACTGCTTCTCTCTGCTCGCCATGTGGTTGAAGGAGGCTCTGCAGCCTCCCGGCTTCCCGTCATCGCGGGTCACAACTCAACAGAAAGACAACTTCTCACATCAGATACTCAGGTGACACGACCGAACACGCGTCCACCCAGTCGATTATTTTGCATATGCTTTTTATGTATTTGTCCTTTTAATCGTTACCGCCTCTTCTGTCCTGCAGAGAACGAGTGAACAAGAGGAGGGTGAAGGACATAGTGAAGGAGTTCACACTACTGTGCAGAGGGCTCCACGGTACGGAGTACGCCGCTGAATACTGAAACTCTACCCTTTGAACTCTCGCCCAACCGGGACCTCTGCCCTCGCGCCACAGTTCTCACAAACCCCAACAGCGAAGACATCATGAAATGATTGTAATGATACCCCCCCCCCCCGCCGCAGCCGCCGCCATCGCAGGACAAGACAAGGAACCCATTCCAGACCTACCATCGGATTAATGGACTAACTTTAAACCCCCGGTGGCTTCAGGGAGGCTGTCCTCTCTGCTCCCATTTTCTTTTTCCGTTATCAGATTGATTGTCTCTCCCTCCTCTCTCTCATTTCTTCGAACGAGCTCCGAGCAGCGCTCCCAGCTTGCTGCCTCTCGCCTCCTTCTATCTCTGTCTTGTTCTGCCTTTCTTAGACCTTCATGTGGTTCCCTAGGTTGTCTCCTGGTGATTAGCATACATATGAAATGGTAGTGGTGTTGTACGTAGCTACTTGACATTATTTTTCAGAAATAAGCCAAATGAATTATATAAATGTATACGTATACACATATAGAGAGACAGTGGTCATCGGTCCTGCTGCTGCTAATGGGAAGAGAGAAGGACCAATGTCTGGAGAGGATTCTGCAGAAGAGATGACGTTAATAGCCACGCCCCTGTGATCTCTGCATTTGCCAAATTATCACGAAATGTTTTGTGAATTTGTCCTCTTTTTTTTTTTTTGGGTGGATTATGAGTGGAAAAAAGAGCCGGAAACCACACAACTGGACTAAAAACAGTTTGCTCTCTTGCCCAGCCCTGTGTGCTCAGGGCTGTACCTCATGTACATATAGTCCCACCCGGTCGTACTGCAGTCTCCTCGGATTGTAGAGCGTCTCTTTTGCATTGGTCCCTTAGGTAAAGCAGGACTGCCTGGAGTGAAGGCTAGAAGGAGGGGAGGGGGAGGGGGAGGGTGATTATAGTAGCTGGTAGTGAGAAAGAGGCAGAAGATGGAGACTGAGAAGGGAACTGAGTGTTCGGAGGGATGAATAATCCTGTCGAAGGATGGCTTAGTCACTGTAATCGTGCAAAAATATTAATCGAGCTGTGCATATTACCAGTTATTGCTGAACACTTGTGTGTGTGTGTGTGTGTGTGTGTGTGTGTGTGTGTGTGTGTGTGT